CTTTTGAAGTCTCCTTCTAGAAGTTTATTTCTGGATGCCTCTTCTAAGAACTTTTTTTCTGGTAGCTTCTTTCTACAAGCTTCTTCTTGAAGCTTATTTTTCTCTCTAGATGTTTCGTGCTGGTAGCTTCTTCCAAACGTTTCTTTCAAGAAGCTTCTATCTGGAAGTTTCTTTTAGAAGTTTCTTCTAGAAGCGTTTTCTGTAATCTTCTTTCTGGAAGCTTCTTTTTTCTATATGGAAGCTGCTTCTAGAAGCTTTTCCTAGAAACTTGTATAGAATTTTCTTGTTTCTAGAAGATTCTTCTAAGACTTCTTGCTTCTTTCTGAAAGTTTTTTTTTTTCTAGATTCTTATTTTTGAGCTTTTCTCTAGAAGCTTCTTAAAGGAACATCTTCTAGAAGCATATTCTTGAAGAAGCTTTTTTGGAAGCTTCTTTCTAGAAGCTTCATGTTTTTTTTTCTTTTGGAGGCTCCTTCTAGATGTTGATTTTTTGATGCTTTTTCTATAAACTTCTTTCTGGAAACTTCTTCTTGAAGCTTATTCTTCTCTCTAGAAGCTTCATCTAGATGCTACTTTCTAGAAGCTTCGTTCTGAAAGTTTCTTCTAGAAGCGTTTTCTGCAATCTTCTTTCTGGAAGCTTCTTCTAGATGCTTCTTTCAAGTAGCTTCTGTTTCTGGAAGCTTCTTTCTTCTATATGAATGCTTGTTTTTAGAAGCTTTATGCTGGAAGCTACATTCCGGAAGCTTTTCCTAGAAACTTCTGTCTGGAATTTTCTTGTTTCTAGAAGGTTCTTCTAAGACTTCTTGCTTCTGTCTGGAAGTTTTTTTCTAGAAGCTTATTTCTGGAGTTTTCTCTAGAAGCTACTTAAAGGAACATCTTCTAGAAGCATATTCTTAAAGAAGCTTTTTGGAAGCTTCTTTCTAGAAGCTTCATGCTTTTTTTTTCTTTTGGAGGCTCCTTCTAAATGTTGATTTTTGGATATTTCTTCTATAAACTTCTTTCTATAAGCTTATTCTTCTCTCTAGAAGCTTCATTCTGGAACCTTCTTCTAGAAGCTTCTTTATCTGGAAGCTTCTTTCTTCTATATGGAAGCTGCTTCTAGAAGATTTATGCTGGAAGCTACATTCTGGAAGCTGTTCCTAGAAACTTCAGTCTGGAATTTTCTTGTTTTTGGAAGGTTGTTCTAAGACTTCTTGCTTCTTTCTGGAAGTTTTTTTTTTCCAGAAGCTTATTTCTGGAGCCTTTCCCTAGAAGCTTCTTGAAGGAACATCTTCTAGAAGAATATTCTTAAAGAAGCTTTTTTTCTGGAAGCTTTTTCTGGACGCTAGGAGCTTCGCCTTGAAAGTTTCTTTGAGAAACATTTACTGGAAACTTTTCCTAGAAACTTCAGTCTGGAATTTCTTGTTTTTGGAAGGTTCTTCTAAGGCTTCTTGTTTTTTTCTGGAAGTTTTTTTCTAGAAGCTTATTTCTGGAGTTTTTCTCTAGAAGCTTCTTAAAGGAACATCTTCTTAAACAAGCTTTTTTGGAAGCTTCTGTCTGGAAGCTTCATGCTTTTTTTTCTTTTGGAGGCTCTGTCTAGATGTTAATTTTTGGATGCTTCTTCTATAAACTTCTTCTTGAAGCTTATTCTTCTCTCTAGAAGCTTCGTTCTGGAAGCTTCTTGTAGACACTACTTTCTAGAAGCTTCGTTTTGAAAGTTTCTTTTAGAAATGTTTTCTGGAAGCTTTTCCTAGAAACTTCAGTCTGGAATTTTCTTGTTTCTGGAAGGTTCTTCTAAGACTTCGTGCTTCTTTCTGGATGATTTTTCTAGAAGCTTATTCCTGGAGTTTTCCTCTAGAAGCTTCTTAAAGAAACATCTTCTAGAAGCATATTCTTCTCTTTTTTGGAACCTTCTTTCTAGAAGCTTAATGCTCCAAGCGGAGGCTCCTCCTAGATGTTGATTTTTGGATGCTTCTTCTATAAACTTCTTTCTGGAAACTTTTTTCTATAAGCTTCTTCTTGAAGCTTATTCTTCTCTCTAGAAACTTCATTCTGTAAGCTTCTTCTAGACGCTACTTTCTAAAAGCTTAGTTTTGAAAGTTTCTTCAAGAAGCGTTTTCTGCAATCTTCTTTCTGGAAGCTTCTTCTAGATACTTTTTTCAAGTAGCTTCTTTCTTCTATATTGAAGCTGATTCTAGAAGCTTTATGCTGGAAGATTTTCCTAGAAACTTATGTCTGGATTTTTGTTGTTTTTGGAATGTTCCTCTGAGACTTCTTACTTTTTTTCTGGAAACTTATTTCTGGAGCTTTTCTCTAGATTGAATAGTGGCACAAAGCTAGATCCGGCCAGAAGATCGTAGCGCCCTCGTGTTGCTTCGACGACACCCGTGGCTGTTAGAGGTGCAGCGGTACGCTAACATAACCTTTGCATGGGTACCTGGACACGCAGGTATACCAGGGAATGAGGCTGCTGATAAACTAGCTAACCAGGGTCGTCTTGCTCGACTAGAGGACACTCCGGTGCCCTATAGTGACGCTACCCGCTGGGTGAAGCAGACCTCGCGATACGCATGGAATGTGTCTTGGCATAACAACCGTGATGCATTCCTGCGTCGTATCAAGAACACTACACAAGAGTGGAAGGATGCACCTAATTCTCGAGATCAGAAAGTTCTGACTCGGCTGAGGATTGGTCATACACGGCTCACTCATGGACCTCGATTTAGCGGCAGTGTGGCCTACTGCCAGGGATGCGGTGCTGTATTAGATGTAAATCATCTATTGGTGGAGTGCCCGGCGAGAGCACAATTAAGGGAAGATATGGGTGTCGTTGGTTCAATCCGTGAGGTATTGTTCAACGACAGGAGTACAGAGCAAACTGTACTCAACTTCCTGAGGGCGTTAGACTTATACGATATGATATAAGCATGAGTAAGTTGAAGTGGCATTAGAAAGAAAATGACTGGTAGTCATGCCACTTCATTCGACAAGAGGCAGTCCTAAAGGTCCTGAAGACCAAGGTACACGAGGGAGGACGACCGACCTAACGGGAGACACAATGATGAAACAGCTGCTGTTTAAAACCCGTCTCGAATGAACTAAATTCTCCTCTTGTAGGGGAACAGTTTAAAGAGACGTTAATAGACGTATCCACAGCACGCTTCTGTAGACACTCCTTTAGGTAGATCTGCCCCGTTTACAGTCCCGGTAGTCACGAACGGCGCACTCCGTTTGCAAAACATGAGCAGATCGCTTGCCTAATCATGTATTTCTTGGCACACTTTGAAAGTTTCTGCTGCCTTACTTCCTCCGGAACATCAAACTTGTGCTGGGCGGTGAAGAACAGTAGCCCCGGAAGCTGCCGGTAGTCCGCGCCTTGACGTAAGTCTCATCATCCATGATGAGACAATGAGGCTTCGTCAGCATCTGGGTGTACAGTTTCCGGACCCGTGGACAGATTCAACTTTTTGGCCACATCCCTGACCGCTTTCACGACACGCTTGTGATCCTGATCACCAATAGAACATCCATTCTGACCGCATTTCTCCTTTCAGGTTCGATGCTCAGAGTTTCGTAGTAACGTTTAATCACACGACTCACCGTTGACTGCACGATTCCGAGTTGTTTTCCGATGTCCCGATGAGAGAGTTATACACTCTTAACTACTTCTACCCAAATTTTCAAAAGAAAATACCCAATGGGTAATTTTCTACAGCGTTTTTTTCCCGTGATGCAATTTGATGTGGGACACATTCTTCTCCTTGTTGGAAGCTTCTTTCTAAAACCTGCTCGAAGCGTTTTTTCTTTTTCTTTTGGAGACTCCTTCTAGATGTTGATTTTTGGATGCTTCTTCTATAAACTTCTTTCTATAAGCTTCTTCTTGAAGCTTATTCTTCTCCCTAGTAGCTTCATTCTGGAAACCTCTTCTAGACGCTACTTTCTAGAAGGTTCGTTTTAAAAGTTTCTTTTAGAAACGTTTTCTGGAACCTTCTTCTAGATGCATATTTCAAGAGAATTTTCTTTTAAAAGCTGCTTGGTTTTCATTAGGGCCTCTCTCTAAAAAAAAACGATTGGGGTATTCAACATGAGTAGCTTCGCACTGTTAGGGCCTCCCTTAGCTCAGTCGGTATAGGCGCAGCTACAAAGCAAGACCATGCTGGAGGTGGCTGTGTTCGATTCCCGGTCCGGTCTAGGAATTTTGCGGGTTGGAAAATTTCTCGACTTCCCTGGGCATAGAAGTATGATTGGACTTGCCACACAATTATACCAATGCAAAAATGGTACAGGCATCGAAAGCTCTCAATTAATAATTGTGAAAGTGCATTTTAGAACACTGAGTTGAGAGCACGCAATAAGCTAATATGCGATCAGCAATAAGCTTGAAATGCGAGGAAGAAGAAGAAGAAGCTTCGCACTGTTTTTTTCCAGTGCTCGGGAGCATTTTCCGAAAATTTTACATTCGCCGTTTTCTCGCCTGGAATGCAGATGATCAAATTTCAGGAACGGAATTTGACTCACAAATTTCGTTTAAAATTTACGAATTCATTGAAATTTCCGTAGTCCTACGAGTCAAGACCACTGTTGTGTACCTGGATACAACACCCTTAATTTTGGATTCGACTTGAGTTATACAATTAAGAAAGGGGCGTCATATGCATGATTCGCCAAGGGTGTAGCTCTTTACGTACCTGTCATCATCACGATCTGAAAAGAAAAGAAAAGATTTATCAATAACACTAATTTTATCCAGGATAGAACTTTGACAAGAACGGCCACCGACCATTCGAGGAAGATTCCTTTGAGTAGAAAATGCTTTACTAACGGATTCCCGGTGATATATGCTACACATGGTCTCGAATTAAATACGTCTAGTCTAGTGTTGGTTATACTCGGTAATGGAATTCTAACAAACGGTGATGGGACACGGTAGACCTAAGTTCGATTTAGCAACCCCCCTCCGAAGCTGACTGCTGAATCAAGCCATTTTCTAACGTCCCGAATTTCTTTTCCCCTCGCCCTGCAGGTCCCGCCGGTCGCAGTTTGGTCGAGATCCAGCACCTGTCCGGTGCCAACATCCAGATCTCGAAGAAGGGCATCTTCGCGCCGGGCACCCGGAACCGCATCGTCACCATCACCGGTGCCCCGAACGCCATCAACGTCGCTCACTATCTGATCGAGCAACGGATCCAGGAGGAGGAAGCGAAACGGGCCTGCCAAACGACCACGGCGGCAGCGGCGGCCGCAGCCGGCAAGACCGCAGCCACCATCGTTACGCAGTAAAAGCATACACATCCATACACAAACACACACACACATACACACACTAAGCATGAAACAACACAAACCATTTACTTTAAAACCGATGCGGGATGCGAGTAAACAAAAAAAAAAAAAGAAGAAGGAAAAGAATAACAAACCAATAAGAGAACCTAAAGAAAGAAAGGACACACATACACACTTAGCGAGCAAAGCGAAGCGCGAGGTATGAGAAGCGATATAATAATTATTATTAAAGTAATTGTTATTTTAGTAGGTAAATTGAAAATGGAAAAACAGAAAGTTTTAACTTGAGTTAGTAGACAGAACCTATAGTGCGGAGAAAAGAAAAAAAATACAATGGGGATGAAATGAAGAAACTTCAGAGTAAAGAAGAAGGAAAAATTATATGATAGATAAGTGAGAAACCATATAATTAAAGAAAAAAATAGTTAAAACAAGCGATAAACAGACAAAGAAAAAAACATAAATATAACACTGACACACAAATACACAAACACACACAAACACACACACAGGTTACTTCGTTCAGTGCTGTGTTACCACACCTATCGTACTACACCATTGTTAATTTCAATCAAGCGGAAAATCGTTTCGTAACCATAGCAACGCGATCACAGAGTTTTTATTTTCGAACTTCTCAGTTTAGTTCCATCTTTATTTTTCACTGTGTCTAATTTAAGAGAAGAGATGTTTTTAAGTTTTTTTTTATATACATATTCATATTATTTTTTTTTTATTATGTTTATCTAAAAGAGACGGTGGGCCAGGCCTAAAGATTTGTTTTTAGCTGTTAGCAAAAGGAAGAGAAAAACAAGGGGTATATTTTTCGTGCGAAAAAAAACAAAGAACAATAGCAAACAACAACCATTGGTCGAATGATTTCTGTGTGTCAACTCTCTTGCGGGTAGGACTATTTTAGGAGACAACAACAACAACAACAACAACAACAAAAAATGAAACGAATGAAACGTGCACTTGTATAAAAGTATACATTTTATGTATGTGTTAGGGGAAAAAGCAAACGACGAAACGAATCGTTTTTCGTTTGGATATTTTTTTTTTTCGTTTCTGTTTTGCCATTGTTTACATAAAGTTAGAACACTGATTACACAAACAAACATGCATCCACAAAAGGGCAAACGTTTTACGTTGTTACAGAGGGGAAGAGAATAGGAAGAGATGAAAAATTTAACCATTGTTGAATGTTAGAAAAAAATACACAGACATACATACAAACAAACAAACACATACAGACACACACACACACACACACGCACGCACGTCGTACAGCCGGATTATATTACCAATACCAACGCGCGGGGAAGTGCATATATATATAGGTGAAAGAAGAAGAAATGAAACAATACCGTGTGTGTTGCAAACAAAGTCATATAGGAGTGTAGGAAATTATTTAGGTAATTCGCGAGAAATGAGAAGAAGAAGAAGGGTAATGTTTAACCATTTTTTTTTAAAAACTAGTTAGCGTTTAGTGTTTAGTTTAGCGCAGTGGTATTTTGAAAAGAATTTTAAATTCTTCGTTCTCTTGTTTATTTCCTTAACCAATTTTTGTCATTGGCAACGAGTCAATAGTTATTTTTTTTTCCGTTTCAAAAACTATATTAATCCACTATTAGGAACTGGGAAGGAACTTTCTCCAAGAGGATAAGCAGAACGCGGAACATGTGCAAAATAAAAAATAAATTAAACAAAAAAAAGCTATTACATAACCTCAATTGTTCTCATGTCAACTTGCCCAACGGCGGCGCGATTCGATCGGAGCCGCAAGGTTTAGGCGACGGACGTTACCAACGCGCACGAGGTCAAATTGACGTCAGAAGCGTTAACTTGTTTTCCAATATAAGCTTGCATAGATGCAATCTGTTAATGTTAAAACCAAAAAGACGTTTTCTCCTTTAAAACATGTTATAATTCCTAGTTTATGAGATACATACATAGAAAACATACGCGCATTACATACATACATACACACCCCACACTTCCACATAACCTCTTTTTGTTTATGAAACAGAAACAACACAACGCAGTGTCATCACAACCAACACACACACACACACACACTCACACAAAGAAAGAAGAAAATCTTCATTTTAGTTGTTTTGTTTGTTTTCTACCCGTTCGTCAGCATAGCTACGTGTTATTTATAGCCTATTACATCACCATGAAAAAGAGAAGAAGAAGAAGAAAACCAACACATACACTTACATTAAACATGCACGTACCCGTTATATTTTGTTTTCCTTTCCTAAATAAAAACATACACACACACACGCATACATATAAACGTAAAAAAAAAACAAAAGAAGAAGAAGAAATATTTATAGCCAATTTATCTTTAACAAAATAAAAAACAAAAAAACCTAGTTTTTAGTTTAACGTGCCGACGATTAAAAGAGAACAACAACAACAATAAGTTACACAAGTTTGAAACAGATAAAAAAAAAGTTAAAAAAAAAGAAGGAAAACAACTAGTGATATGTAGGGAACGAAAATTACTAAAACAAAAAAAAAACAAAACTCTAAACGGGGGGAAGAAACTTGTAAAGTTGTTAAACTAGCTAAACAAAATTCTGCGAATGTTACGTACGCACGCACGCACGCTCCCCCCTCTACATTCTACCATTATTATTAAATATTCGTACGTTTAAAACAAACATTGAAACACAACAAAAAAAAAAAGAGAAAGAAGAAGAAGAAGAAGAAGCAAGGTTATAAACATTTTATTTTCATTAGCAAAAGAAAACAAACGAAGAATGGTTGCAGAAGCAAAACAAGAAGAAGGAAGCGGTGAAAAACAAAAAAAACATGAAATGGAGAATATACGGGATTAAAAACGAATGAAAAACCAAAAAAAAAACACATGTTTGGAGCGCTTTTTTGTTTTATTTTTTTGGTGCTTGGTTTCCTTGATTTCCGGTTTTCTTGGTCGCCTTGGTTGGTTTCTGTTCTGCGGTCCGCCGGTTTTTCGTATGATTTGTCTAGTTTGTTCGGATTTTTGTTTTTTGTTTCAGCATTCGATGGTCGCCATCCTGATTCTACCAGGGTTATTCTGCGTGGCGTGTATTCCTCCATTTACGAACCTCATTCGTAAATCGAAACAGACGTAAAAAAATACTATTTGGGATTTACTTCATAAAAAAGTTTTTGAAAATTTTGTCGCATACCCCACAATACGGGTATTTTTGGAATCCGGGTGACGTGTAAGGACCGGAAAACCATGTCTGAGGGCCTTCTGAAGCTCAATATGGCGGCTTCTGGTTAGAGATAAACTGGGAAATACTGCCAAATAACCATCAATTTTGTTATTTTTGGAATCTTGGTGACGTGTTGTACCGGATATCGATGTCTGACGGCATTTTGACATTCAAGATGGCGGCTTCTGGTTGGAAAAATAAATTTGGAAATTCTGTCAAACACCCCACAATATTGGTATTTTTGGAGGGACCGAACATCGATTTCTGAGCCGTTTTGAAATTCAATATGGCGGCTTCCGGTTAGAGTAAAACTTGGAAATGCTGCCAAATTACCCACAATATGGGTATTTTTGAAATCGGGGTAACGTGTAGGAACCGGACATCGATGTCTGAGGCTGTTTTGAAATTCAAGATGGTGGCTTCCGGCTAGAGAAAAACTTGGGAATTCTGTCTAATTCCTCTCAATCCCCCTTATTCTGCGAGTCACGTGACTCTCTGTCACCGGTGAGGTGACAATTGTCACCTCGTGTGAGGTGACTCTCCGTGCAAATCAAATGGAGAGTCACCTCACACGAGGTGACAATTCTCACCTCACCGGTGACAGAGAGTCACGTGACTCGCAGAATAAGGGGGAATATGTGTATTTTTGGAATCATGGTAACGTGTAGAGAGTTGAAACCCATGTCTGACACCTTTTTGAATTCAATATTGGAGTGCAGTTGGAGAAAAACTGGAAAATACTGAAAAATTAGCCACAATATGGGTACTTTTGGAATCTTGGTGACGTGTAGGAACCGGACATAGATCTCTAAGGCCGTTTTGATATCTAAGATGGCGGCTTCCGTTTAAATAAAAACTGGGATATTATGTCAAATACACCACCTTATGAGTATTTTAGGAATCTTGGTGACGTGTAGGGACCGGAAACTAATGCCTTTTTTTTTAATTCAAGATGGCGGCTTCCAGTTACATAAAAATTGAAAAATACTATGAAATACCCCTCAATTAGAGTCGGTGTATAATGAGTCACGCCAAGAGAAAAACAGTTGAACTCGCATCACGGTTTTCGAAAGATTCCCTTTCTTTTCACTTGGCAACAGAGGACTTCTATATCAACTTCAAATGACTTCTAGCGAGAACAAAAAATAGCGGCTGTAGTGAATCATTATATCAGTGATTTTGTCAAATTATTTTATCAAAAAATAATAGTAATTTCCATTACTGATCATTACCAAACGTATCCCATGACAATTTAATGCTCACTGCGTGTTTATGATCATTACTTCAATTTTATTTTATTTGTTACTAGCTGAGTGTGCCCGGTCTTACTCGGGATTCAATATTAGCTTGAGTTTATGCGCCGATTTAAAAAAAAACATGCTATATTGTACGTAGCCCCCCCCCCCTATTATCTAAGGGGCTACCCCCTATGATTATCTCCTTATACCCCCACACTCGCCCCCACATGCCTAATTTGGTTCCATTTGTTTGATTAGTTCTCGAGTTATGCAGAAATTTCTGTTTCATTTGTATGGGAGCCCCCCCTTACAGAAGGGGGAGGGGTCTCGAACCATCATAAGAACCTTCCACAGCCCCAAAAACCCCTGTATACAAATTTTCACGCCAATCGGTTCAGTAGTTTCCGAGTCTACCCAGCTTTCCATGCTCGGTAATGGCGGCCTGTTTGTATGAAAAAATGTATCCTTCACTGTACTATCTGGAGGTTCGGATTTTGATCCCTCCCTTTCTCTCTCCCAGGAACAGAAGAAAATGGAACAACATACGCCCTCCAGTTAGTGTTAAAAAGTACAGTATAGGATACATATATTCATACAAACAGGCCGCCATTACCAAGCATGGAAAGCTGGATAAGGGTCAGACAGACAGACAGAAATTCATTTATATATATATATAGATAGATAGATTGCAATACCTATCGTGGACCTTTCATAGCATCGTAATGTTTGTTTACTTTGCACGATAGGTAGCCGGTTTGACTGTTCAATAGGTAGACTTGGCTTCACTCTTGGCGTGACTCACACCGACTCTACCCTCAATATGGTTTTTTTTTGCAATCGTGGTGATGTGTAGAGACCGGAAATCCATGACTGACGACATTCGGCTTCCGGTTACAGAAAAACAGAAAAATACAGGCAGATTTTTCGTCCATAAACGCCACTCAGTTTCTAAAAATATCCATATTGAGAGGTATTTGACAAAATTTTCAAGTTTTTCTCCAACCGAAAGCCACCATCTTGAATTTCAAAATGGCCTCAGACATCGATTTCCCAACCCTACACGTCACCAAGATTCCAAAAATATTCATACTGTGGGTAATGTGGCAGTCCCCCTTATTCTGCGAGTCACGTGACTCTCTGTCACCGGTGAGGTGACAATTGTCACCTCGTGTGAGGTGACTCTCCGTGCAAATCAAATGGCGAGTCACCTCACACGAGGTGACTATTGTCACCTCACCGGTGAGAGAGAGTCACGTGACTCGCAGAATAGGGGGGAGTAATTTCAAATTTTTCTCGCACCGGAAGCCGCCATATCGAATTCAAAATGGTCTCAGACATCTATTTCCGGACCTTATACGTCACCCCAATTCCAAAAATACCCATATTGAGGAGCCGAAGAAATTATTGGCTCGAAACAATAAAAAAATTAATTGAAACAAATTTAGAAGTAATAAATTACCGAAAATCGCAACCATCCAGTCGACAGCAGCGGAGGTTACGACTCTTGTCACTTAAAATCGTCACTTCAGTACGACTTTTGTCACCGAAATACGACTGTGAGAATAAGGTGAGAGTTCATCGGGTTCATCCTAAGAGTCTTTTCTCACCTCACTCGCCAGTTGGAATCCGGTGACACGAGTGACTCAAGTCACCTCACCTCATTCGCCACGCAGAATAACCCTGCTTGTGTCATTTTAGACGGTCGCCGAAAACGCCTCAAAGTTGCGTGGAATTTCGACTCGTTTTCTTAAACTCGTTCGATGAGCTTATTGAAAACTGAGCTTTAACGTTACTCTATACACGGCGAATGAGAACGACCCAAATTTGAGTTTAGTTCACTCATAATCGCCAAAAGTACAGGAACTCAGCGATGAGTAAATTTGCCTCATGTTTTTCCAGGATTTTCCAGGGAAAAATTCCCGAATTTGAGAAAAATAAAGATTGGATTCACTCAGTCTATTGGTACTACTCCAAGACTGAATAAAATTTCCGTCAATTTCCTCATTTTCCGGCAGATTTTTTCAGGTTTTCCACAGGAAACCACGAGACAAATTTTACTCATCGCTGAGTTCCTGCACTTTTGGCGATTATGAGTGACTCATTCGCCGTGTAGAGACTCTCCCCGTTTCCTGTATACCCTTTTCTTTTGTCGTCCAGAGCCGAAGCGTAATTTCTAACAAAAAAGTTCTGCAATTCTTCGTGCAGAAAGCATATTAAGCTTGGGTGTTTATTTATATTCACGAGAAAATTAAAATTTGGGTCATATGTAGTCATAGTAGTCTGCATTCTAAAAATACAGAAGTTGCAAGAATCTTCCTAAAGAAGCCGGAACAAACACTTTCTGGTAAGCCAATTACCAGGGACAAGTCAAAAGGACCTCTGAAGAAATCGGAAGAATCACCTGTCTGAAAAGTCTGGGACAGCTCGAAAGAAAACTACGGTGGACATTGGAACACATTCTCTGGGCAAGATTGTGAGGAGACTTTTGATTTGAGTAGTTTTATGAATCATTCGGGAACAGTTTGGAAAGAAACTTCCGGAGAAAGTCGGAAGAAACTGCCAGTAGAAGCCAGCAGCACTTTTAGGTGATGTCGGGGAGAACCCAGACGAATCGATGAGCAAAACTTTAACGAAACTCTCGACATATCCGGGGAAACATGAAATGAAGGAGGCGGCTGAGCGAATGAAGAATACGAGTGGAGGACAAGTGCGGATATCCGATTGATAAGGACGGGAAAAAAGGTACAGGCAGCACTGCCATGGATGTTGAAGATTCCCTGCAAAAAGGTGGAGATTTCTTGTAGTTTGAGATTTAGATGTGTCT